TTGTTTTAACTTTAAACAATCTTTGTAAGACAGTTCATAGCTATAATTTTTTAAAAAACCGTCATAGAGTTTTTAAGAAAAACTTTTGTAAGACGAGTTCTTTTTCTATTGGGTAAGTCTTAAGCACTGTCTTTTGTATTTTTTCTTTTCAATCAATAAAATCGGGATTTTTCCGCCAGGTACCGCCCTAGATTCTCCTAAAAAAGCAAACATTGAAGGATTCGTGAGTTAATACTATTGAATTTTCATATGGCCCTATATCATTCATAAGTATTCAACCACATAAAGGGCTTAAGTTGAATACCCTGTTTAGTTCTTTTTCTTTTTATGTTATTTTATTTTTTATGTTTTAAGATAATCATCCATAGACCAAAAACAGCTCCATGCCTAATTACTATTACAAACTTAAAAGTCTCATCTAGTCTAATACGAATGTGATACAAAACTAAATGTCTAATTGCTAGCTTCAAACAAGGTCATCTTCGTGAGAATGGTAAGGGGAGTTTCACCCACCCACCCCCTCTCAGGCAATAGAGGATGCCATCTAGAAAACTTCGAGAATAGGGAAGGAATCCAAGTCATTCCATGGGGTCGAGCTCTAATTTGACACCAAACAGGAACTCTAATTAGTCAAATTTTCAGTTTGTACCTCAACATTTGGGAGATTCAATAACACGCATTTGCGGAGCCCAATAAGTATACAACTACCTTCAACGAACCATGCAAAAAGCCCTAATTTTTCTTCGATTGTGAGTGATGAGAAATCTCTAGGGGTAGCATAATTATGTAACCAAAAGATTGTTCAAGTAGAGGAAGCTTCGGGTTCTAAAAGTGGTAATGGAGAAGTCATAACCGAATCTAGTGTTAATAACACTTGGGGGAACTTTTGATTTGAAGAAAATGAATGTCATGAATCAAAAATTGAAATTCATTGAGCTATTGGTAATTAGTGATAAGACTACAGCTAAGGTAAGGAGAGATGAAAATGTAGATGTAATTGATTACTGGAGCTCCTCTCTAATGTACTATGTCCTAGGTGCCAACATCCCCCCGCCCCGAAATCTATGTGCTAAATGGGTATCTTAGAAGAATTTGGGGTGGATACAACATTACTTATAGATAATGGTGTACATGTGTTGATGTTTAACTCTATATCAATCAAGGAGGAGATTCTGAGGCAAAATGTGATTCATTTCGATAACAGACCTCTCATAGTGAAGTATTGGTCAGTGAAACATGGGTTCAAGTTAGAAGATGTGAAAAAAGGTGCCAATAGGGGGGGTTCAATTACCCAAACTGCAATTGAAGTACTGAAATACAAAATCACTTAGTAGAATCACGAGTGTAATTGGCAAATCTATTGAGACGGATGAGATGACATTGGAAAGGAACAAAGAAGATGCAAGGGTACTGGTAGAAGTGGAAATATAGGGGAAAATGCCAACAAAAATTTGGTTTGGAGATGAATTGGGTATTCTGTAAGAACAAAAGGTGAAGTATGAATGGCAGTTGTCCAATTGTCACAGTGCAACGGATATGGTCATGAAACTACCCAGTGTAGAAAGCCAATGGTGAAGATTTGGTCTCAGAAGCAAAAACAGCAGATGGATCAAGTAGTGGAAGAGAAGCAATATGAGGAAAAGGAGAAAAGTTCAGTGACAAAAATGAACCAAATTGAGAAAATGCCAGATGATAAGTAGTAGGTTTTGAGAAACCAAGAGAGGACAAAGAATAACCTTGAGACTATGAATAGTTAGCATAGAGATGGTAAATAGGTGATGCAAAGGAAGGAAACCAAAGGTATGGAACTAAGGAATAGTGATAGAAATAAGGTGGCTTGAAAGAGTACTATTCATATAACTAGACCTTCTAATTTAGGGACTAGTGATCATGAGTAACATTCTCTGTTGGAATATAATGGCATCAGTTTGACCATGTAAGTAACCATAGTAGTACAGGAAAAGGAAGAATCCTACTTATATGGAAGAAAGGAGAATATAAGGTGAGTAATATTTTGATAGGAGAGCAACTTATCCGCTGTAAAGTCCATGATGCTAATAATAGGTATTTTGCACTTACAGTGGTTTATGCAGAACATCTGGCACAGGGGAGAATACCATTATGGAATGAGTTAATAGCAAATTCAGGCAACCCAAAATAAGCTTGGCTAGTACTTGGTGACTTTAACTGCATTATGCATCAAGATGAAAATATTTGAGGGATCAAAGGTACAAGCCAAAGACAGATATGTTCAAGTTGGTAGTTGAGCATTGTGAGTTAGTAGGATTGAAGACTCGGAGTAACCAATTCACCTGGAATAATAAACAAGTTGGCGAAAAGAGAATTATATCTAAACTTGATAAGACAATGATCAATGAAAAATGGTTGGATAGCAACCCAGAAGCAGTAACTTGGGTGATGCAGGCAGGCATATCAGACCCTAATCCTCAAATAGTTAGATAGAGTAGTAGCTAGAAGATTAGAAGCAAACAATTCAGATTCCAAAATATCTGGACTTAGCATCCTGAGTTTAAAGCAACTATAGAGGAAACTTTGAGGAACGGACCAAACAATTTTAATTGATAGAAAAAATAGAAGGTTCTGAAGAAATAGTTGAGAGTGTTTAACAGGAAGCATTTTAGTGATATTGAACATAAAGAGAAGAGAAAGAAATAGGAGTTGGGAAAGATACAAGAGGAACTGTAACAGTACACTGTAAATGTGGCTTTACAAGGGAAAGAGAAAGAAGTGACGAAAGAATATCTAGAGCTAAGTAAGGTTGTGATGAACTTCTAGAGTCTAACGGTTGAAGGAGAAGTGGGTTCATGCATGTATGAAGCAACAAAAGGTGCAGAACAGGATTATGAACTTAGTGGAGGATTGGGATCAGGTAAAATCACATTTTACAGATTACTATAAAATTTTATTGGGTATGAAAAAAAAAAAGAAATTGGACTACTATACACATTTTATATCCTGGAAGGATAGTGTTGGTTTATTCAGTCCTCTTGAATCTTCACTCTTACTAGACAGGCATCTTTATGCTCCCAAAATCTGTAATGCAATAGATAGAAAGGTTTTGCAAAGAGTTTATTTGGAGAAAAAAAAAAGGAATCTGGAAGAACCTGGGTCCTTGGTAGCATGGGAAGAGATGAAGCAAAGGGGCATATTAAGAGTTCAGGAGTTTGGAATGAGGCAATGCTGGGGAAACAATTGTGAGGTGTTGCAAGTAGAAAAGAAAGTCTATGGATTAGATGGGTTTATATGTACTATCCGAAGGGCAAACTAATCTGGGACTACAATCCACCTTTGGATTGTAGGTGTCACTGGAAGAGGCTAATGACAGTTAAAGAGGGATTGAAAGATGGTCTTAAAAATGGGGTATGGAGTGGTAAAGAGAGGAAAAAAATACACTGCAAAAGGTGGTTATGCATGGCTGAGGGAACCGCAGGGAAATAGAGAGAGGCTAAACTAGTGTGGAGTTCATATAATACCCCTAAACACTACGTTATCACTTGGCTAGCATTGAAAAACAGGCTGCTAACTCAGGAAAGCTGGAGCAGTTAAAATTATTCAATGGCAGTAAGGAATGTAAATTGTGTGGAGGAAAAGAGTGTGGATCACTTTTTTTTTGGATATCCTTTTTTTTTTTTTTTGGAAACGATACCTATATTAGATTAGGATAAGAGAGTTAAGCTATTACAAAGAATCCTATAATATGCAATATTATGAACTTCCGAAATATCTAATCTGCTAACTTTAATCAGTTTGTAATATAAAAAAGTATCTATAATGTCTATTAGAGCCGGTAGAAGACATGTTTGGACTTCCGTTTGAAGCGGGAAAGTAGCCTGGATATTAGAAGAGCCAATTTGTTACACAACATTGAAAGGGGAGACAATCTTCCAAGCACCTGCAGCCCTTAAATTTTCCAGATTGAAGGAGCCATCTATTGCAAGTGAAGATGCAGCCGGGGTACTGGAGGAGCATGATGCGCGTCTGTTGGTCATGCTAAGCTTTCTCTGTAGGTTCCTATGAGTATTGAACTCCATTTGAATGAGACGCCGTGAGTTAACATGGTCAGGATTTTGTTGGCGCCAAACTTAGTCATTTCTGTCCATCCAAATGCGCCATATGATGAGGAGGAAGAGATCTACAGGTATCCAAAATCCCTAGAATGACTAGAGCTTAAAATGAACATACAGGCCTTCAGGTATCACAAAATTAATAGATTGTTGAAAGTGTGAACTGTGGAGGCATAGAAGAATTAAACAGAAAACTATGTATGCAGTCATTGTAGCAGCTGTGTACCATATTTGGGCTGAGAGAAATCACCAGAAGTTTGGCTAGCAGAAGCAATCTAATTAAGAAAGATTCAGCTGTATCAGGAAGGAGGTCACTTGGAAATATAGTTTTATTGTATAAAAGAGAGTAATGATGATATAACGTTCTTAGATAGTATTGGAATCTCAGCGAAGCAGAATTAATGTAATAGATAGGTCTTGTAAATATGTTGGGCCTTTGGTGAAAGTAATATAATTTTACTGTTTTTACCCAAAAGAAATTACTTCAAGAAAAATAAAGACGAAAATTGAATCCGTAAATACTATTGAAGGAGATGAAAAGGTTTGGGCACCAATGGATTCAACCAAAATTCCACAGAAGACGAAAATGCGAGCGAAATTTGATATAAAAAGGACGTGTCAGACTTAATATGTTAAAATTGCTTTTAGGGGCCTACAGAAACGTTTCGAACAATTTCACGCAGTACCAAATTGAGAACAAAGTTTCATTTTCATATCTGAAAAATGCGGATAACAACGAGGCTATTTTTGGTAAATGGGTCTAAATTTCTTCCCGCTTGCATCCCTATGTATTTTCAAACCAACACCGCCATAATAACAGAATACGAATAACCTCTCTCATTTTCTCTCTCACACACACTCACACAGTAGTGAAGCTTTCTGCAATAAGTGTAAACGAGAAATTCTGGTTTGGAGATGGCGATCAAGCTCCTCATCGTCACCTTCCTGGTATGCGCCCTTAACGTTGCCGGAGCAAGAACGAAGGCGTCACCTCCAACTCCAAGAAACGGAACTATTTCACCTCCTCCGCCTCCCCCTCCAAGAAACGGCACTGTTTCGCCTCCTCCGCCTGTAGCAGGTGGAGGTCCGACGAACTGTTCCGATGAATTGGTGGTCTTCTCAAACTGCCTGTCCTACATTTCCTCTTCTCCAAACAACACGACTACTGTACCCTAGCGCCACTGCTGCGGCGACGTTGCTTCCGCATATCTCTCCGGCACCGCCGTTTGCTTCTGTTACCTCGTTCAGAAACCCAGCCTCCTAGGATTTCCGGTCAATTCCACCAAGATCCTCTCTCTTTCCTCTCGGTGTCCAGTCATTGACCACGGAACCAAGGCTAATTTCTCGATCAAAGCACTCTGTTCCGGTAAGGAGATTTCTTCAATTCAACTCATTACGTTTTCGGAAATTGACATGCTCAATCTCAAATCCGCGAATTTAGTGTCTCTTATAAATTTAATGTGAATTAGGGGGTAATTATCTTTCTGGATTCAGGAACGTACTGGAATTTCAATTTCGGGTTTATGGTATTCTTCTTTTTGTTCTTTCTTTGAGGTTTTCCTCATTTAAATGGATGTTACTGGAGTGGTAGTCCCTAAATCTGAATAAGCTTGAATTTTCCCAATTAAGAACGTCCAAGAATCAGTATATTGTATTTTCTTAGATCTTGTGGCTGGATTATGGCCAAAAAATCATACGAATTTTATCGAGATAGCTCACAAAGAACTCATGATGAATGTCTCTGGTTGTGGATTTTGTCAGGGGTTAATGCTTTGCTATAGTTTTAATTTCCTTACTTTCTGACTGTCTCAGTTTTGTTGCTTCTTTCTTGGGAAGTTATTGATGATTTATTGTTTGTACTAATTTACTCAGGCGTACATACTCTGCCTCCTTTGTCAAGCATTATTCCGATCGCCCTAAACCACGCATTTCAGGTGAGCTTTTTCTTCCATCAATAATCTTCAATCTGTTCTTCTCTTTTATGGCCTATGACTGATTTAAGCTTAATAATATTCTTCTGAAACAGGTCCTGCACCCATACCCACAGTCCCACAGATCTCTGGTAATCTATTGATCAGAATGAATCAAATTAACTACCTACTTTTTCCTTTCATATGCCATTCACTTTTGGTAGTTAAAGGATCTGAGTAACTGTATTAGATATTCTATTGAAAACAAGCATAAGAACTTTTCTTCTGGATGATCTTTTTACTGGGCTGGTTCTTAGTTCCCTGATTTTTCAGTGTGGAAATGCATTAGGCATCTTTATGTGCGCCATTGATGCTTCATCTTCTAGTTTTTTTGAGTTTTACTAAACATGTAGACTGGTAACACAGTAACAGTACACAAAGGTCCATATATAGAGAGGGTTGAAGGGGGTTGATTTACTTTGTCTCATTTTGTTGCAGGTCCAGTTAATCGTTCTCTGCTGCCTCCTGGGATGAACTTGACTCAGGAGTCTACTGCTTCTTCAGGCACTCGAGGACATGCTGATAACCAATCTGATATAAGCAATCAAGGACATGCTGATCGCGAGGAACATCCAGCACCAGCTTTTCAAGTCTTCCCAGCATGGAGAACATTTAGTATTAACAAAGCAGATGCAAATCCAGCTGGCTTTCCCCTTTCATGGTGCCTTTTTGGTCATGTTGTTGCTAGCATATTCACAGGATTGTATGTAGCTTATTAAGCCCTGCTAAGCCCAGCTAAGCTAAAGTTGGTCTGGCTGAGTGTTATAATTTTGTACAGTAGGGAGGGACTCCTGATCTTGTACAGCAATCATATGAAAGTTTAAACATATCATTCATTCTGTAATCCTGCATTTTTAGCCTCCTTTTCTATTCAATTTTTGGGCTCACTTTGTTTTCATTTTCTATTTATTCTTATCATCTTAATCCTTGTTGCAGTTAGGACAATTGCCTAGCTAATGTGATTAACCACCTAACAGGGATGAAACTCTCTCGAACCTGAACAGCGAACTCACAGATTTGAGAAAAAAGACTCTTCTTTTGCTCTGATAGCATACTCTGAGATGCTATTGCTATTACACTGCAGCAAATATGTCTAAAGAAGGAACTGTAGAATGGAATCTGTAAGATTCATCCCACTGAAAGTACTACTAAGAAATCTTCATCTGAGTAATTATACAGGCGAAAATGGCAGGTTCCTGCTTCTTAGTTCTTACACATAACGCCAACGTTTCTGCAATAGAGAAACTTAGATAAAATGTAAATTGTTTTAAAATTTCTGCTAGGCACTTAATATGAAAACATGATCATGAGTTCATGAGAATAAGTCATTTCCAGCCATCAGACCATTCAGCTTCATCATAAACTGGTTCTGGGATCTTTTCGGTCGTGTTCAAGGAATTATCAGCACATTCCACATTTCTAGAAGGTTGAGGGTTGTTTCCTCCTCCGTCCACATCACCACATTCCAGGTCTCCAGAAGGCTGATGGTTGTTTCCACCCCCGTCCACATCACCCCATTCTAGGTCTCCAGAAGGGTGGTAGTTGTTTCCACCCTCCTCCACGTCACCCCATTCCAGGTCTCCAGAAGGCTGATTGTTGTTTCCCCACTCATCTGCATAGCATTCTGCATCTGTCTGCTGGTATTGGCCAAGCTGTTCTCCCTCGTAATCATAGGATGCTGGGATAGAGTGATCTTCTTCTACAACCTCTTGCCTGGGAGGCATGAAGCAACCTTCGTAAGATTGATTGTCTGCACAGTACCACAAAAGCTCGTTCCAATTTTCATCCTGGAAGAAATGAGTCATTAAATAGATTTTATATTAGATCAATCATTCCTCTTTTGAGCTTTCAAATAACAAAAATCAAACCCTGGAAGCACTAACTTTGCTCCCCCCATGAAAAGTCTAGAAATAGATATATCTAAGAACAGGAAATGAGTTTAAATTAACTCAATAGTCTGTCACAATACCTGAATCAGAATAATTTATGAAATGAAAATGCTTCAGAATTACCTCCGAAATGATGTGTGGATTGCCGACCAAAATAAGCAAAGATCTTGCTCGGGTAATAGCTACATTGAATCTTTTAGGATTGCTCAAAAATCCAAGATAGTGGATCCTATCAAAGTCATTGTGTTTTATTGTGGATCGGACTGTAGACACGATGATTACTTCCTTCTCTTGCCCTTGAAATTGCTCAACACTACCAACCTTGACATTGAACTTGTTGAAATTGTCAAGTGCTGTCCTTATCTTGAGAACTTGCTGACGGTAAGGAGTTATTACACCAATGTCTTCCTCGCAGAGCCCCTTGTCATCAATCAAACGAACAATGATCTCAACTACCTTGCTGGCTTCGACTCTATTAAACCATGATGGATTATTTCCTTCCCTCTCATCACAACCCTGGATACCAATGAAAAGCAAAGGAAAATCTTCATTTGGTAAAAGGTCCAAGAAAGCTGTTGAAGATCTTTCATCACTTTTCTTGCACGGGATCAAGCTCCCCCCATAGAATAACTTCGAAGGAAGTTCAAGAATTTTTGGATGGGATCGATAGTTTCTAACCAGTTTGGTTATGTAGTTTCTGTTGCCATAGCCATAAACGTCACTTTCAAAAAGTCTTTCCAAATATGACTTCCCTAGTCCAAAATTTTCACTGATTTTGGAGAAGGTTAAAGGACCTAGCTGCTGAGGGTCACCAGCAAGTGTGACAACTGTATTCGCATGACAAAAGTGAGCAATAGGAACCATTGTCTCAGGCTCTGAAGCTTGGCCTGCTTCATCTAAGAAAATGTGTGAAAAGTGACCTCGTCTAATGCCCTCAGCATGAAGAAGGCAAGCACTTGTATATGTTGATACAACGATTCTAAACTGCATAAGATTCTTTAATGGGGGGCAACTGAAAAAAGAATTATCCAGATAGCAATAGTCAATGTACTTTGGATCTACTTCCTCAGGAGAGCGTGTAACTGCATTCAGCCTAAAGATGTCATTGCCCTGGATGTTTGCTCCATTTGCACTAAGAATCTTCTCAAGTATGTTGTCTGCAGCACTGTTTGAAGGTGCGCATACTAGCGTTCGAGAATTCCTTTTTTTAGAGTAAAGCTGAAGGATAGCTTCTACTACAGTAATAGTTTTGCCAGTACCTGGAGGACCATGAATTACATATGGAGATCCTCCCTTGCATCCAAGGATCATCTGTATTGCACCAAGCTGCTCCTCATTAAGCATACAAGACATAGGAACCATAGGAGTTGGATGTATTATTCTCTCTTTACAGAAGTCAGGGAAAAGAATTTCAGTCTGTAAACCTGATGCAGCTTCAATAGCTTGATATAACCTCCGAACACCAACTCGATTATAGGTGAATTGTATATCATATTGATTTCCAGGACAATGTTTTGCATGAAAATCATCCGAAAACTTCAGAGATACTTCTTCAGCTTCAACATGGTGGATAAAACCCTGTGCATATAACCAATAAAAGATTCAGCCTTCTCGAAGTAAAGAAATGGATTATGCATCCAACAATAAAGTTCGTAGTTTGTGTATGTTGCAAGAAGACTACATTTGGAAATCACATAGAAGCTACAAAAGAACATGGAAAGATCAAGCTAGAAGCTCGTCTCCATGTGATACGCTATGAACGTACTCAGTAACTTCATGTGTGGCCAAAGCATTAATACAAAGATTTATAAACCTGATAAATAGTGTTCTTAGTTGCCCCATCTGATGAAAGTTTAGCAAATACACAATCTCCATGAAGAAGAGAAGGCCTCTTCTCTGCAAGCCCAGGAACCTCAAGGGACAAAAACTGGAACCCCTTTTTCTTCAACGTAACGTACTCCATATCATATTGATTCATGTCCTCCTAAAGCAAAGAGCACAAAAATAAAAAAATGTCAACGAGCACAAAAGAAGAGTTACGTATTCATTAGTGCAAGAAAAGTGGAGCACACCTCCATTTTGATCTCTTCCAAGGCTAGCAGTGTATGGAAGTAGAAAACATAGTTCTGCCTCGTCAAACCATCATAAATAGCATCAGGAACTTGCTTCTGCCCTAGCAAGTCCCTGATATCCTTTGGGATTGCATATGTCGGAAGTCTATAATTAGATGAACGCTTTTGAGTCCCAATTGGGCGTGGACACGCCACAAATGGCTCTGCCGAACCTCTACCAGGACCTGATTGTTTTTTCTTCCTGGCCTGGTTAAATGGCCTGCCAGAAGCCAAAGACTGGGAGATCTTATCTTCAGCCATGATGAAAACCACACGTTCGATTACCTCATCCCCAACGCTAAAATGTACAGCTGAAGTGTGCAATCCAATTCCTTTAGGTTTACACGACAACCAAATGGTTAGAGCCCGTTCTGGCTGTAACACTCTATCCTCCAGAGAAAATGACTCCTGGAATCTTTGGGCACACTCTGCATCTGAAGTCGGAGTCGGTGGTTCCATTACAGAAAGAGTGAATGAGCCCTCAGGTTTTGAATCATAAATATTGATTGACCAAATGTCTATTGACCCATTAGTTTTATTGTGAATTGTGACCGAATCAACAATGGTCTCTCCAACCAATCCTGATTGAGGCTTTCCTCCAACCAAGGGGAACGGTACAGATATGGTAACTATGTCACTTTCTTCAGCCGGATTATAGCTACAAGAGTCTTTGCATTTCTCAAAGTCAATGAAGCCAAGATCACCTTTCTCACCGATCACGGAGTACTCATCATCTGATCCGTTACCCCTACCCATCTGAACTTGATGAGTATCGTTAGGCAATCTGCAATTTTGAAGTGAGAAGATGTATCAATGTATACATCATTTCCCTGAATAAAAATCATTTACACCTTGTGTATATATCAATGTATATATCATTTCCAGGTGACAAAGACCAAGTATTTCAGATGTGGTCACATTGTTTAAAGCTGAACCAACATGGAAAAACTTCCTGGTACACTACAACAAAAAGGTCGTACAAGGGTCCAAGTGAATCAGACGCATTGGCTTTTGGGACACATACAATAGCGTCCTCCAGCTAACGGTCCCAATAGGTTTTCGATACGCGCATTTGCGTTTCATTGAAGCAAAGAATCCCACTAAATTTGTGATATTGGGACATTCTAATCACGTCCTGACACAGTTTTTTCTTTTTCTAACAGGAAGCTTTAATACGTCCTAACATTCAAACATCCAATGTTATAATCGACGTTCTTAAGCATCCCAATATGTAGTGCCAAACATTTAAAACAACTGGTAATCAATAACCTTTCAAGAATCTAAAGAAACATGTACCAAAACCCAAAGCCAGATAATTTTCATTCATGCAATCAATAGTACAACCATCGTTATCCAACGTCAGTGAAACTTAATCTACAAAAGAAAAAGTTTTAATCTAACAATACAAATACAATCAAAACACCTAAAACCTCCACGATCCACTCAAGTGAAATGAAATTAGCTATATGCCAAAATCCAATTTCCTTTGAGCATCATCCTCATTGATCACCTAAATTCAACACAAAATGACAATCATGAAATATCCATGTAAAATAAGCACCAAGAACATTTGATAAAGAACCTGGTTTAAGCCAGCACAAGGGATAATGCAACCTCAACAATAAACATTCGCAAATAAAGAACCTAGTTTAGCACAAAGGATACAAATGGGTTCATGGCTTCATGCTAACAAACATAAAGGATTGCAAAGGGATCCTTATCTTTTTAGTTACTTACATCATTACACTCAATAAGCATAACAGCACAATAAGCATAAAAGGTGCTCCTATATATAAGACAAACCTGAACACTTGAAATGCTGCAACAGACTATACTACATAGCACAATAAAGTATACAGGCAATTAATTTATTTCAGCACCACAGCAACTTTTATTAACTTAAATGAAACTGGCAACTTAAATGTTCTTCATTTGAGTCACAATAAAGAGGCATATGTTAGAATTTGATGCAGTATAATGTGGCAACAAAATTCAGTTGGCAATCATTACAAGATGTCAAAAAGAAAATTAAATTTTTCAGGCAATCAAACAACAACAAATGGAACAACAGTGCAATGTTTTCTTACCTAGACACTTTAGCAGCATGGCAAAGGTAAATTTTTATTATTAGTATTATTATTATTATTTTGTACAACTCTGTCATCGGCAAGAGTAAGAGCACAGAGGAGGCACAGATGAAATGTTTAACTGTGTGTGGCTACTGACCTCTCCTATTATGTTTTTGTGTGTTCATTGTTTGCCACATACATAATTATGAAACAAATTACCATAAAACGATGTCCACAAATAAACGCCAGAATTATTTCCTCATGTACTGGAAGTTCTCGTCGATCCTGCAAAGAGAGGAACAGAAGGCTTACAGAAAATACATGTCCTGATAGATGACAGCAAACGATTGAATATTGGATGTAAATCGAAAAATATGATAAATGTAGCCAACAAGAAGCTTCTTCAGTTAGAAATGAAAGTAGCACTGTCACATATGCACCGATAGAAACACTAAATCATTCATTGACAACATAAAATCCAACTTGTCTAAAACAAAACTGAAATGATCATTCAACCATTAGTTACTTCTTGCTCTAGGGTCTCACATACACAATGAGAAGACCGAGCCCATCACCAATAGCCACATTTACTGAACAATCAAGTAGTAGAAGTCTAATCATATCAAAATTTACAGACCCTCAGTTCGTATCATTCACAACCAGGATAAAACAAATTATAAACATCAATCACAAGCCAAATTCATCAGCAAAAAATCCTTAACCCAATTACGCATATGAACTAAAATTACGAATTTTTAAAACTCCGACGTAAGTAGCAGACCAGCAAATTGAAAACAGAGTATGATCAACTATGTGGCGATGACGATACCTTGTTTTGAAATGCCAATCGAGAGCAGGGTGAACAAAAGGATGGGCGAATAACAGGGAAAACTCCAGTGGGCCAACCTGATCCTGCTTTGAGTACGTTTTTTATTCTAAATCATCCACAAAAGAAAAAGACAAAATCATTTCTTAGATAGTACATTGTAGAACTGCATCAATCAAAACTTAAAAGAAAGAGGAGAAAAGTGGTCTGATTACATGTTGAACTCTGGAATTCACAAACAAAAAGGTGTATGCTTGTATAGGAAATGAAGAAGCAACTTTTACCTTACAGGTCGTCACCACCACTGAAGCAGTTAATGAACCAAGATGTACTCAGATTCCGACGATGCCACAGTCCAAATACGACCAGAGCTTTACAAAGTCACCATCGGGCAGCAGAATTCTCAGCGGAGCTTGTGGAAATACATCACACAAAAGCTGTGCAGAAATAATGTGGATGATACTCGTCGAAAGATGATCTTATACGGAATTAGGGCAATGTATTAGTCCAACCCTCAGAGAAAAAATCAGGGCTTTACTCCCAAAGGGCCTTACTGACAAGTAAGGAATTACAGTGGTGATTGTTAAAGAAGAGACGGAAAGTCTGGAAGAGGGAGGAAGCTGGCAATTTGTATATATTTTGGGAATGGTGAGATGTGAGTTTGGGAGCCAAGGGAAAGGGTAAAGTTAGGGCAACTTCAGTGGTAAATTCGTTTATGTGCAACGATAGAGACAGTGATAAAATGTGGTGAAATAGAACAGTGACTAATTAAAACACAAATACACCATTCTCACTAAATATATGTATTTATTAATTAGGGGTAAATATGTAATTTTTTAGGGAAAGATAAAATTTTAACGGAAAAATGTCAAAAAACTATGGCAAAAAATACTCCACATCAGTCACTATCTTTTTTTCACTATACGTATCATTTTCCTTTGTTTATATAGTCCTAAACTTATAAAAAGGTCACACTAGTTAAAAAATTATTGAGACTTAAGATAATTTATCTTTCTTTTCCTTGGGCTCTAAATGTGACCCCATCAAACTCAACCACTTCTTCTGAATTCTTTATGGTTGTAAAATTTGAAAATGATCCTTTTACATTATCCCAACTTATCATTTTGGTCTTTTGTATTAACATTTAGTTGATATGGGCTGAATCCTCACCTTATGGATGTTGATTATAGATTCCCTAAGGGCTCAATGATTATAAGAGTCTTAGGGCGAGTGTGGAATCATGTGATCAAAGGAGCGAGATGGTGTACTAGAGATGGGAGGCGTGGTTGTTCTGGTGGGACAACTGGTTGCACAACTCGGAACCGTTGATCTGATCGGCTCTTTCTCCAGTGTCGTAAGACCAGTTAAATTGAACGATAGAAAAATTTGTTAATGAAGTTGGGCAGTGACGGTAGGAGTTATTTATAGGATTGATCCCAGCTAACCAACTCCTTCAAATTTCATCAATTATGCTAAACAACTTGAGAGGTCTTCTTTAAGTTAGGTCAAGAACCTTTCTTTCTTCCTAAATTTCTCATTCCAAACTTGCAGATTTTTGCTTTAGATAGGCTGAGCTAGCATCACTTTATACATTTGAGTGAGCTAGTGCCGCACGGATTGCTATTAAAAAGAGCTGCCCCTGACAGTTGGTTATCGGAGCCTCATTCGAGCTACACTTCTGCTTGTGCTAAGCATTATGGCAACACCATTTAAAGCCACCGACCTAGGAGAGGTTGAGGTGGGAAGTGGTGATCATGTCTCCAGGGAGCCAAAGAGATTAATTAGGAGAACTACTCTTAGGGACAAGTCTCTTGTTCACGAGCCTGTGGTCGACTTTGAGAAACAGCTTGCCAAGGTGGAGTTAGCCGTGGCCGACCATCAAGATCGTTGGGAAGAGCATGCTTCCACGGTGGAAGTTATCTCTATGGAATGCATATAGCAATTCAAGGGTGAATTGCAAGAGATCATTCAACAAATGCGTGAAGAGATGCTTGGGGCACTCAATAGGATGTTTGAGAGGGTCACTAAGGCTTCCAAGGAAAATGCAGCCAAGGTCACTGATAGCAATCTCGTATATGAAGCAAATTTCGTTAATGCAACTATCAAACAAGAAAGTACGAAGATAAGTTGTCTAACCCGTGAAACTCAAAAGAATGCGGAAAATTCACAGTAAGACGATCGTTTATCTAAAAAATTCTATCTCTTAACTCAAACCAAGCAAAGAACACATTATCCATGAAAAGATTCGAATTAAACAACAACCCACACTAAGAATAGTAAGGACACCATTCAATATACTCGATCAGTCATCATTCAAGAGACTCAAGAAAGGTAGGAGCAAACAATGCTCAACTATGAAGGAATACTATTGATTAGTAATCTCCATAACCAACAAAGATATGCAACACATACACTATCTCAAAATGCTTATGCCTAAGCACAACTCACCCAACAAAAGTAGGACAAACCCCACAAAGGAACTCATGAACATACACATCATGAATTCGAAAACCATAGCCAAAAGAAAGGCTCAACTCTCGAACTACTAGAAGTAGTATGAAAATAAGAAGTTTAATTTTAAAACAATTCTATCAAGAAGCATACTTAAAAAAGAACGGTTTCTGCAAGATCAAAAGATCCAAGACAAGATGAAAACCCTCTTGGTTAAATCATACTTGACACGAAAAATGGACACACCATTTAACAAAAATTCCTCACAGGAAAAACTCTTAATAGAGAAGACTCAAAATGAGCAATCATGGGTGCTTTAATTTTCGACCATCCTCCCCTATTCATAGGCTAACAATTTCAGCCAAAGCGCCAAAAAATAAGACCAACTAGGACTCTCTAATCTTATCTCACGCAGGAGTAGAAGTAGAAGAGTATTTGATCTCTTTGACTCTATCTAAAATCTAGGAAACCTTATCTATATGACTTATGCTCAAATAGGATAATACTTAGAAGTAATCTAAGACTCCTAATCAAAACACTCTAGTTTAATTCAGTCCACATGACTTATTTAACTAGATAAAATTCAAAAACAACTCCTAGACTAGATAATACTCTAATTCTCAAAAATCAGCTCCAAATATTGAAGTAAAATGACTTGAACGCCCTTCCAAAAGTGGAATATTAGTCTTGCACCCCTCAACTTGTAGAAAACTCTAATTTACTCCAAAACTTGTAGAATTCTCTTTATTGACTCCAAAAGAATGGAAAAACACTTGAAAGAATTGAGATAGTTTGCAACCTATCCAATTGTGTAGCAATGGACTTACTCTTGAACACTTTGATCAAATAGGTCGTCCATTCAAGAACCTAAATGACTCTTCTTTCTAGCTTGATCAATGATCTTCATGGAGCACCTAGAGTCAAACTCCCTTGAAACTCTTGAGCAATTATTTCCATGAGTGAATCATCTCCTTTGGTTTGAACCCCAAAGTTAATGACATTCTCATCATCTCGATCATAGCTCTCTTGAACCAACTCCCTATCACATAGGTAGTCAAGATCCATCCTTTCTTCCTTGATTAGCCTACAAAGTAAACTTGGCATTCTAAAACTAGAATGAAGGACTAGCCCATTCCCCTCACTAGGAGAACCTTCATGGAAGGCTATATGATTCTCATCAGTCACCATGCTCCAAGGACATGTGCTCAAACTCAAGGGTGATTTTGAGACTTATCATGCACAAATAGAGCAGCTCAAAGTTCGAGTGAATGCTCTATGTGCACAGAGGATGACCAGAGTTGGAGGGCCAACTCCATTGGTCGATGTACCAAAACCAAATGTGTATACTAGTAGCTGCAAGACAAGGGATGTAGAGAATTTTCTCTATGAACTTGAGAGGTACCTTGGTGCTATGGGCTTGACAGACGATTCGATAAAACTCTATCAAGTCTCCTGTTATTTGAGAGATAGTGCTATATCTTGGTGGAAACGTATGATGAAACTAGTAGGCCAAGAAGCGCCAGTTTTTACAACTTGCGAAGGATTTAAGGAGGAATTTAAGAAGCAATTTCTCCCAGCTGATGCTGAAGTCGAAGCTCGGGCCAAACTTCGTCGCTTATACCATAAGGAGTGCCACATAAGGGAATATGTGCAAGAATTCTCTAACCTTATGATTGAAATTCCTGATCTCTCACCTAAAGAAGCTTTCTTTATGTTTATGGATGGCCTTAATCGTTGGGCTAAACTAGAGTTGCAACGGAGAGATGTCCGAGACGTTAAACATGCTATACGCATAGCACAATCTCTTGTAGAGTTTGAAACTAAGAATTCCAATCAAGCCACAGGTGAGAAATGTTTCAATGACACAGGTGGAGAAAACAACACGACGTCTTATCTGAAATTATTTGAAGGAGCAAAGATCACCTCCAAAGAGAAGTTAAAAGTAGAGAAAACCAAAAAATGTGAAGGTTGCTTTCTATGTGAAGGGTCTCACTTGGTTCATGACTGCCCATCTCGTAGTAAACTTGCTGCGATAGCTCAAAGTTTTTGTGAGGACGATGAGTTGGCACATTAGGGTATCAGGGACGATGCCCCATTCAGGTGGGGGAGAGTTTCACGATCGTGACATTTCTAGAAATATTTAGAATTTTCTAGATTATTATAGATTATTCTAGACATCTGTAAAATATCGTGAAAATATGTAGAATATTTTAGAATGGAGTAGAAATCTTTAGAACCTTCTAGAATCTTGTAGAATATAGGACAATGTGGAATCAACTAGAAGATTCTAGGTAAGGCTAGATTAATGTTCAAGAATAGTCTAGAAGTTTGGAGGTAATTCTTGTAGAGGAGGTGGAAGAAACTTTTAGAGCCTTAAGGGTTTGCCTTTAAATATGGCAAGACCCCTCATTGGTATAAGTGTAGAATTGAAAAGGTTCTAAGCAACTTGAGAGGTCTTCTTTGAGTTAGTCAAGAACCTTTCTTTCTTCCTAAATTTCTCATTCTAAACTTGCAGATTTTGTTTTAGATAGATTGAGCTAGCATCACTTTATATATTTGAGTGAGCTAGTACCGACGGATTGCTATTAAAAAGAGCTACCCGTGACAAGGTGGTCACAAAAATAGACAATAGTTGTGTGGTAAAGATGGGTTTAAGCTCAACCGAGACGGTAGGGATGAATGGAGGCTTGCTTCGTGCAATCAAAGAGATGCTACGAAGACCATGGTGTGTGAAGCTTAAACATGAATGCAGAGAAGCTAATTTTGCGGTGGACTGTTTAGCTTCTTTGGCAGTGGTATGTCCGGGAGGGTATCATAAACTAGATATTGTAAAACCAGAGTTGACGCATGATATAGTGGGTGTTTCATACCCACAAAATGTTGTAATGCCACAACCCTAGGCTTTGGCCATCTTTTTTGTTTCAGTATATATATATATATATATAAAATTTTTATATTTGAGAATGTAACTTTTTTTGACACTATTCATGCACTTTGACCAAATTTAAAATCAAGTCAACAAGCGTATTTTTTGATAATATTGAATAAAATATTAAACTAATATTTATGGGAAGAGTGAAATAGTAGAATATTTGGTGGACAAAGAAGAACAATGGAAGGGTTAGTTAGCCGTATTCAGTATGAAGTACGAACTCGTATGCTGCACAAGAGTTAGAACAAGCAAAGAGGGGTAGATTATTTAACAATTGTTCCCCAGATTATAAATTATGTAATGTTGTAATTAGCTTTTTGTATAAGAGTCACATTGGTAGATGCCTTGTAC